TAATAAGTCTTAAATAAGGAAACTAAGTAACAGAACTATGCCCTCGAATATATGAGGACATACTTAGCCTTGAAAGATTCTTTCCCAATCGTGTCTTCTAAATTCAACCTTCCTTCCAAACCTATACTTGTAGAGTATAGAAAATTATGGGGTTAGTACAAACTAATGTACTAAGTATGTTGTATGCAATAAACATGTGAAAAAGGGACATTTTAGTAAAAATACACTTCCATGCAAATTAAGTAAAATCTTTATAATATAGAAGAAAAAAAACATAAATAACATCATTTAACATTTAGAAAAGCATTTCCATAATTTTAACGAAAAGGACCATTTTATAGTAAGCTACCCAAAAATTACAGCGAACCCCTTTAGCATTACATTGAACACTTTTTATTCCCAAAATAGTAAAACAATCTCCTTAGAGGTTTTCCTAGCCAAGTTCTCCTTAAGACCACCCAAAACTGAAATCTACTTTGCACCTACGCTCATTGGAATATTACCTATACACCACCTATATTCAGTAACTACATTCCATACATGTGAGATGAAAAAATAATTTTGAGAACATTCCATTCTTTTTTTTTGGAAAAATGCACAAGTACCCCCTCAACCTATGCCCAGAATCTCAGAGATACACTTATACTATACTAAGGTCCTATTACCCCCTGAACTTATTTTATTAATAATTTTCTACCCCTTTTCAGCCTACGTGGCACTATCTTGTTGGCCCGATGCTGGTTAATTTTTTTTCAAACTAGTACCACGTAGGCCGAAAATCGGTAGAAAGTTACTTATAAAATAAATTCTGGGGGGTAATAGGACCTTCGTATAGTACAAGTGTGTCACTGAGATTTCGGGCATAGGTTGAGGGGGTAGTTGTGCATTTTCCCAAAAAACAAAGAATGGAATGTTCTCAAACTTGTTGTTTCGTCTCACATTTATGGAATGCAGTTACTTAATATAGGTGGTGTACCAATGAGCGTAGGTGCAAAGTAGATTTTAGTTTTGGGTTGTTATGATGATTTGGGTGTCTCATTCTTTGGATTATCTCACAATGTTATTCTCTCTGTTTTGATTTGTGATTAGTATCTATGGAATTATTATCTTGCATGCGATAAAGATTTGAGTTTAGGGAAAACAAGGAGATACTTTTTCTCAAAACATGCATGAACCAATGGAATTAGTATCCTGATGCGATAAAGCTTTAAGTTCAGGGGAAACAAAGAGGCACTTTTTCTCAAAACATGCACCAATGGAAATTTTACCCTAGAAGAAGCACTTGATGAATCATCCCAAAATTTGGTAGATCCAAGAACCAGGGAAGGACAAAAATTCCATGTGTGTATCAATGTAACTGGTGCAAAAATTTTATTTCAGGGTACATATTGTTCTCTCTTTGTTTGTAGCCCTAGAACTAGAGAATCTGTTTTCTTGATATCACATAAATATTTTAGTTGTTTAAGGTGCTATGAAATTGTGGAGTTTACGGATGCAACATCCTCATGGTATGAGATGTATGGAGAGTTTTAGGATAAAATTAAATTTCACGTTCTGGTCCAGTATTTCATCCAATGCACAATTACTCCTTGGGTAATCTCATTTACGGCTAGGACCAGTTGGAGCCATGGCATTTTATATTTTATCTGCTATGCATTTTTGAAGTCATGTTTTGCAATAACCAAGGCCCAAAAGTTGTCTTGAAATTCTTACCTTTTAGCTCTTATGAATCTTCCTCAGTAGTATTTTGTCATTTGAAGTCATGTTTTGCTAGTAAGGGGCAAAAAGTTTTCTATCACGTGACATCATTTATGGAAGGATTTCATCATTTGTGTAGCACAAGAGACTCCAAATTAGGTTTTGAGAATGTTCCTTATTATTCTAATAGACTTTTATTGTACATGGTTCGCAACAATGTACAAGCACTATGAGTCTATTTGGTTCTATAAGTTTTATGTGTTGAGAAATTTACAATATAATTTAATACATCACTTTTATAGTATCTAAGAGTTTCAGTTTAGACATGGAATTTTCTCCTTCACTTATGACCTAGGAGGGTAGTGTCAAGTCTACTGAACTGCCACGTGTATTTGTACAACAACATACATAGTGCAATTCCATAGGTGATTGCATAAGTAAGGTCTGGGAGGGTAGGACGTAAGTAGACTTGACCGCTTAACTTTGAGGGGCAAAAAGACTTTTCAGATAGACCCTGGAGGTCACTTTACAGTCTATTCCTCCCGTGCTTCATTTCATTTCTGTATAATCCATCTTATTCCAAAGTTGTTCCTCGACTCTTTTCTTTGTGTTTAAGTTGAATGCATTTTATTGAAGTTTGTTTTGTTAGTTCTGCATGATTTTGCATTGTTTCGGCACCAATAGTAGTTCCCCTTGTGGTTTCTTTTGTAATAGTGTTGGTTTATTGTTGCTACATTGTGTGTTTAGGTGACCCTTGTAATTCCGCCTATTAAATCAGCCGGTCCCAAATCTTGAAAAAGAAGGAGAAAAGATGTTTTAGTTTGCAATTAATTGTCTTTAGTTTTTAATTAGAAAAATTGTTTCTTGAGTGCTTATGATGATTGTTTCTCCTTAGTTTTGTTAATCCAATTCAAATGAAACATGTGCTCCTGCAGTCAGGGTAATTCTCTTCATCATATGGCATCTCTAATTAAAATTATCACTTATTAGTAGTGTACATAGTTGGTAGATGAAATGTCAAAGAGGCCTTAGGGGATTGTCAACTTGAGTCGTTAGGTGTTCTCGTTTATCATGCAAGGTACTTTAAAATGGTGACAATGTACTTATGATCCACGTTAAAATTGTAATTATTGTTTCCGTTATTGGTTTCTAAAGATGGTTTCCAAGAAGGTATTTAGCTAGGAATAGTTTTAAGCCTAAATGCGTATGCATGTTCCTTTTTAGGAATCATGTGTGTGTCATGGAACACATGGATATAAAAAGAATCATCACTACTCTTCTCCCTCTTTGATTGAGCACCCACTGCAAGTATGCATGTGTCTGTTCAAGAATTATCATTGTGCTTCCCTATTGATTGATCACCCATTGCAAGTATGGATGTGTGTTCAAGAATTATCATTGTGGTTTTCTATCTTGATTAATCACCGATTGCAATTTGGTACTCTTTTTAACTTTTCCTTTTTTTTGTTAGGTCATTCGTGGATATGGCATGTTATTGTTCAGCTGATAAGTCCGTTCATGTAAGTTCCTATGTCGAACAATGTTACAACATTGCGATGCAACACTAGATGCAGGAGCTCCCTTATACTACATGATTTACGGTGGAGTGCAACATGTAATTGAGCAACCTCTAGCGTAAGGTAAAGTATGCTCTCGCCTTTTTGTCCTTAGAGGTCAATCGGAAAGCATTGGAACTTGTTTTTTGTGGTTCCTCAGGTTGGTATATAAATGACGTGCTCATACTGTAATATTTTAATTATTCTTTAGTAGAAGTGGTTAGTAATGTTGTTCCTTTCTTTCCTGCTTCCATAGGGAGGAGCAATTGTGTTTATAGACGATTCAAACAATAATTAATGGGGATTAGAAAATATCGTGTACAATATATAAGTCTATTCTAAGAGTATCCATGTTGTCATGCGAGGAGCATACTCTTAGCAGTATCTTTATGGTCGTCTATTCTAGAAATCAATAGGTATAATTTCATACTAGAGAGGGTCATAGAAGGAGGTGAGATATCGTCATCACATGGTACACAACATTTTTGATTGAGCATGTTGATTATGATGTCCTTTTAGTCTCTTTTTCTGATGCATTACTAGAGTTCTACAAAATTTAAGATTTTTATGTCTAATTCATAAAAATACCTTCTTCTTTTTTCATGGAAAAGGGCCTAAAATACCCTCAATGTATTGGAAATGGTACAAAATTACCCTCCATCAACCTCTAAGATCCAAAATGCCCTTCCCACCCACCTATTGGGTCCAAAATACCCTTGTCATCCACCTTTTGGTTCAAAATTGACCACTTATTTAATGGATTTATATTTATAATATTTAATTATTTTTAAAATACGTGGCGCTCAACTATTTGTTATAATTTAACTTATAACTTTAATTTATAAATCAATCCACTACCCACCCCATTACTAATTAAATCCCTGTATTTTAATGAACCCATCACATTATTAATGCAAGCTACTGCTAATTGATTGATTTTAAAAATTATAGAAGTAAATTATCATACATTCAAATGGCTAAATAAAAATCACCGATAAACTTAAAAGTCTAACTATGTTCATCTTAATTATTCTTACATCTCAATTATGTGATGTTACTTCATAGGTAACTTTTTTTTTCAAAATAATATATCAAAGATTTTAAAACAAATCATAACTATTTATAAAATTATATTTATAAAAAGTGTATGAATGAATTCGGGATTTATTATTTCTTTTCCTTCAATCATAAATTTCTAATTCAATTTTGAAAGAAAGTGTCCTCCTAAATAAGCGGCTCAACCTAGATTTAATTGGGGCTTCGATTCGGAGTGAAATAATTTTGAGTGTCATTTTCATTAATCTATAATTTCATCGTGTTTTAGTAGTGTTTATGACGATTTTGATATTATAATTGGATTATTAATTGGGTGAGGTTTAGTTAGTAATGAGTGGGTAGTGGGTTGGTTTATAAATTATATTATTAAATTATAATTATAATCGATAATTAAACGCCAAGTATTTTAAAAAATATTGAAAGAGTTTAATTTTAAAATAATTAATAAAAGTGATCAATTTTGAACCTAAACGTGGATGACAAGGGTATTTTTGAACCAATAGGTGGATGAAAAGGGCATTTTGGAGCCAATAGGTGGATGAAGGTAATTTTGTACCATTTTCAATGCATTAAGGGTATCTTAGGCCCTTGTCCATTTTTTATACTTATCCGAGGAGCATGGATAATGTATTACAAAAGAAAAAAAGCATTTGCATCTTTGTGAATATCCACAAAAATCATCGTTATTGACATTCTCCAAGGGTAGTTCTGTCTTTTCTGCTTGAATTGAACTACATGTGTGAGCTAGATGTATCAGTGTTGGTGTTGCTTGGTCAAGCATCACTGTACTAGAGCCAAAGGGCTCCAAAGGAACTGAACCTCACAGGAGACAGTCTTCTATATTCATTACATATCCGATCACCATGTAAGTAGGGAAGTTTTTCAATAAATCATGTTCTTGTAAATACTCTTCCAAGTCAAGCATTGTACTAATTTTCTATATATTGTAGGATTTACCATTTGTTTTTATCGTTGTGCAAGTTTGGAAGTTTTTCCGTGAATCTTGTTCTTCTAAATACTCTTCCTAATTCAGCTTTATACTAATTGTTTAATACCGTTGAAATTTGCATTGATTATAGGGAGGTTTTGTTCTGTCATTCTCCAAGTTCTTTCAATAGTCAATGTCACTTCACACATGGTATACTGCGTAAAATGTCGCTTAACAGTGCCATTGGTTATAGTCAAGTGTTTTGATCATAGCTAGGTTTTGTTCTTTCATTCTCTATGTTTTTACCATAGCTAGTGTCACTTTACCCATGGTATACTTTGTAAAATGTTGGTTAATACCATCATGCATATGGTGGTCAATGTGGAAGGAAAGAAATGCGAGATGTTTTGGAGATATCTAATTCTATTCACAAAGTAAAATGGAATTGTTTGGTATCTTTACATTTTGGGTGTAAACAGCTATGTATAGAAGATGTAGATAGAATTATAGAATTAATAGGGAGCTTGTAATTTTTTTAGGGATGTAAAATTTTGAAGGTGGCCAACATGTCGTTAATGATGAAGAATACAAATTTACCAATGTTCCAAAACAAATGTGGCTTACCAAATAATTTGTTCAGCCAAATTGTCACTAGACAAATCCATCACAAATGGCTTCGTTACTTTGTTCTTGTCATGTTCTACTACCAGCTATAATCTTACAAAATGACATTTTGGTAAATAGGGATCCAACCATACTTCAGGTGTTCCGGATCATAGGAGTTCTCTTAGAATTCACTCTATAATCAAGTTTTTTAGACCTATCTTATTTCTCCCCCTCCCCATAATCGGGGTAGAGATGTCGATTTAGATGATATAACCTTACATAGTTTCACAAAGCTGCAACTATTTTTGGTAGCTTGGAGTTGATATTTCTACTTAATCTTGTAGTCAACTGTTTCATCTTGCTTCCCTCCATAAACATCCTTCCTTTGTTATGGTGAGGGCTGGCCAAGTTCTTTTCTCCCACTAGTTGTCTTATCCGATATGGTAGGCTTTAATTTTCTCCTCGAGGTAGGTTTCTTCTATTTAGTTGTGGTTTTTTGAAATTTGGGTGATGGGGTCAAGGATGTTTCATTTGAGGTTTCTGCCATAGTACAACTAGTCTTGTGTGTCATTTTCTTGATGATTGAAGGCATTGATAATTTTTTTATACTTACATAACTGGATTTGTTGGTGCAGTTGCATCTATTTGTTATCTGATTATGCTATATAGGTATGGAATGATCAGATTTGACCTTTGAAGAATAGAACGTCTCACATAATGCTTGTCCTCTTGTGCTGGAAGTGAGATTGGATAGGTCATCTTAAGGAGCAGTGAATCTCTTTCTAGGTTTGCAGATATATTTTGAAGCTTGACTTTGCTGTAAATTCTCACCTTTGTTGGTTTCTTGAGGCATCCAAAGACTTCCTGTTTAGGTTATGCCAGTTTCTTTCTGGTTCTACACGAAGTGATGAAGGTAAAGGGTATATGGACCATGCAATTTCTATTTTTGGATGTGAATAATCATTATAGTGAAGTAAAACACATCTATGGTATCTACAAACAATCATCTTTTCTTGCATCCTATCCTCTGGAGCACTATTCAGTATATTTTTCTGAGTCTCCCTTGTAGATGATGCTCTGTGTATTTCATGTTATTAGGCGATTATCTCATTCAACAGGAATGTCTCCATCCTTTGTCTTTCAGTTTCCATTATCTACCTAGAAGCTCTAAATGGAGTATGTGTGCTACAAAAGTGGAATTTTGTGAGTTATATCTACCATGAGAAAGTATTGGTCGCACAATTATATTGTGTTATCCACACAATTAATTAGGTGGGTTCATGCACCAAAAATTAGAACGGACATGATTAAGGAGTTTCTACGAAGCAGTCTGTTATAGTTATTTACAAGTTTTTGATAATATCCTCTTTTAGTATTTGTTGTATTTGGTTATTTGGATCGGTTATCTGTGAAACAACACTATAGATGTGAGTGTACTATTTTTGAAGTTGAGGAAGGTATTATCTTGAAGTAGCTAGTATGCTTTGAATTCATTTTGTCGTAGTTATTCTTTTCTAAATATGACCTCTTAATGGGATATTTCTGTTTCTCTAAGTTCCAGTTATCCAAATTTTCCAGATAATTTGACTGGGTATAATTTTTTAAGATCAAGTTTTCTGCTTTCACCAGAAAACTCTGAATGGTATACTTCTCTTCCTCGCGAGTCCTCAGTTCAGAGATGTTGGTTTAGAGAAACTTGTTAGTCCAGCTTTGTTTCTGTTTTCACCTCAAGTTCTTGTATCTACTTTGATATTTCTAGGATTAAAGAACATAGTTTTTAGGTTAAAATACACAAATTCAGTTCTCTTCAGAAGAGGTAATGATAAGTTGGGTGGATGGTAAACCGGTTGTTATGGAGCATATTAATAGAAAAAGGTGGTGGTATGTTTTTTTTTACCATCTTAAACAGGACAAGGTCCTGGTATGATCACCTGGATTCATGTTCATACATTGACTAGTTCTAGTCATATTGCATGTTTTGAAATATCTGAGTATTTGTTTTCGATCAATGTTACAAGGGCTTCAGGTTATTTTGTGCGGGTGAGTGTTCAACTTCACTCGCGTGTTGTTGTCGCTCGGTACTAATATAATGTGCTTTTTCCTATAACGTGTAGTAATTTATACGTCTATGTGCTCATTGCAGTTTTTGGAGGATGAGTGTTCTATCCATGTGGGAGTGTCGATGATCGAGTAAGAACTAATTTCTCACAAAAATATTGTCTCAAGTAACATGTATGGAATGCAGTTACTAAATATAGGTGGTGTATAAGAAATTATTCTATTGAGTATAGGTTAAAAGTATCTTTATGTTTGGGTTTTGTGATGATAGGTATCTCATTATTTTTCTTATCTCATAAGCTTATTCGGTCACTTTTGATTTGGGATTGGTATCTGTGGATTCGTATGTTGGATGTGATAAAGCGTTGAGTTAAGGGAAAACAAGGAGATATTTCTACTCAAAACATGGACTCATGGAAATTTATTCTAGAAGAAGCACTTGATGAAACATCTCTGAATTTGGCAGATGCGAGACAGGGAATGTCTAAGATTCTATGTGTGTAGTGTTGGGATTGGTGCAAAAACCTGATTTCAGGATACATATTGTTCTCTCTTTGTGAAGATACTTTGTAGCCCCATAAATGCAGAATCTCCTTAATGGATATTACATTTATATTTTTAGTTGGTGAAGGTGCTATGAAATTGTTGAGCTTACAAATGCAACTTCTTGATGTTATGAGATGTATGTTGAGTTCAAATATAGAATTTATTTTAATGTTCCGGTCCAGCGTTTCTTCATTGCACAAATACCCCTTGGGCGATCTTGTAAAAAGACTAGGACCAGTTGGAGCCATGACATAGTTTTTTTTATCTCCTATGCATCTACGAAGTATTATCTGGTTTTTTGACGTCATAGTTTGCACTAACAAGATTTTTACTTTTTAGGTCCTATGGATATTCCTAGTAGTATCTTGTCATTTGAAGGTCACGTTTGCTAGTGAGGGCCCAAAAGTTTTCTATCATGTGACATTACATGGGGGATAAATTCATTATTTCTTTAGTACAACAGTCTCCCAATCAAGTAGTGTGAATGTTCCATTGATCCTTCTACTGATTATTAATATCTTCAATTCAATTTTCTTGCCGATAAGAATGGTGTCCTTCTCTGTTGTTAAACTGCTTCACTGGTGTTTATTGAACTACATTTGTTAGTTCTATATGATCTCATATTGTTTCGGCATGCTAATTCTTCTTGTGGTCTCTTTTAAAGAAGCGTTTGTTCATTTATTGCTATATTGTGTGGTTAGGTGACCCTTGTAACTATGCCTGTTTAATCCACTTAGTCAAAGGCCCGGACTAAGGAGGAGGGAAGGTATTTTAGTTTGTATTTAATTGTATTTTTTTTATTAGAAGAAATGTTTCTGGAGTTCCTATGACTGTTTTCCCTTATTTGTCTTGAGCATTTCAGATTGAACATATGCTACTTTAGTCAGTGTAATTCTTTTCATCTTATAGGAATCTCTAATTACAATGATCACTTGTTAGTAATATACATAGTTGTTAGAGGTAATGTCAAGAGATTCCTTAGGGGCTTCTCAACCTCAGTGGTCACGTGTTCTCGCTTATCATGCAATTAGTTCTCAGACATATGCTTTGCACATGTAATAAGCAAATAGTACACTGAGAGAAATACATTACAAAAAAATCAAACTTAAATTTATGAACAATCGGAGAATTCAAACATCTTTGTTGAATGACAAATAATTATGTATTGTCTGAATCTGTAAAATCAAACAAAAAACAATTGTTAGATATTTAAAGTGTAGAATGAGTTACTTTTGATATTATTAAGACGAAAAAATATAGATTCATTTGGGAACTCTAAAAGCATACAAAGAAACAATCCTTGGCAATGATTTTTAAGGTTCCACATCATAGAAATTAAGCCCAATATAACTATTTGACAAAGTCAATGCACAATAAAAGTAAAATTGGATATTGCTTTAAAATTACGGGAAAAGGAATATATATTTTCAAAGACAATCAAAGAAAAAAACCAAATAAAATGAACATAACTTTAGTAGAAATCTTCAACTTGTCGCTATTATTTCTTCTAATGAGGAGTCAAGAAGGGGTTGATTATTCCGTTTAAAATAAGTTGATTAGTGAGAAAAATTTAAGATACCAAATAAGATTAATCATTATCTAGTTAAATTGGTAACATAAGGAAATCAAAATCTTTTTAATATATTGTTCTTTCATTGGTAACCAAGAATTACAATTACTAAAGAAACATTCAATGTTGAAATCAAAATGCAACTTAAATTTTACTATATACATTCATCTCAGTTTATAGGGTTATTTTAGTATATCCAATTTATACATATTTTCTCAATTTTAGTAATATATGATATGATGATTGGTAATTAGAAATCGTGGCAACTTGGTTTCTTGCATAAGTGAGCAGTTGGCAAGTTTCTTACTTAAGTGAGAAGCTAAATACATTGCAGTCTGGCAGCTGTTGCAATTTATTGTGGCAACTTAGTTTCTTGTTTAAGTGAGAAATCTTTAACATTGGAATTATTATTTGCCTATTGCTTTTTATTGATGGTCTTAAACACGGTATTTTGCTAGGGATAATTCGTGTTAAGCTTGACAGCATATGCATGTGCCTACTAAGGAATCATGTGTCATGCATGTGCCATGCAGCATATGCATGTGTATGTTCAAGAATCATCCCAAAAATTTTCTTTCCTTATTGATCAACCATTGCAAGATAATATTCTTAATAGCTGTTTTCTTTTTGTTTGTGAGTTCGTTCGATGATGTTGTAAGTTAGTGTTTACCTGATAAGTCTATTCATATAACTTCCCGTGTCGAATAATGTCCTGGATATATGAGCTCCGTTATATTATGTGATTTAATGTGGAAGTGCGGCGGGTAATTTAACAAGGTAAATCTTCTATTGGAAGTTTTTTTCTTACGAAGGTATTGTCACATCCGAATTCACGCCTAATGTAATCGGCGGTATTGTCCTCTTTGAGGAATAAGACTAGACTCTTATCTTACATCATTACATTCACAAGTCAAATTTAGCGGAAAATTTAAAACTTTTCATTGATTTTTATTTGAGGTTTACATATACCTCTACATACACATAATATATATCGATTATACATAGACCCTTCGTATAGGAAGATTACTTAGTCTTCTACTTTTAATGCACATACATATTTAAAAGATAACATAGTCTCAAAATAGTTGTCTCATGTTATAACCATCTAACATGAGAATATCAAATTTGGACCTAGACAATACATCAATACAATAAGACCACAAATAGGTCATACAAATGTCTAGTACTCAAATGAATGGAAAGAAACATAAGTCTTAATACTAAAATAATTACATAAGCTTGATAGTGGCATTGCCCTTGGAAAGTGAGGACCTACCCAACTTGGATGATCAAGAATCCCAAGTCTTCTTCAAAGTCGTCTCCAAAATTCCTTCAACGACTGAAACCTAAAATGTTGGGAAAAACAAGAAATGGGGTTAGTACATCACTTGTACTAAGTATGAGACCATATGCACACATACTACGAAATCATGCTGAGAAAAAGGAAATTTCATAAAGTATGCACTTTTCATTAAAAATGTTTATGCACATTCAACAAGACTATCTTAACCAATAAATCATGTTCATGGAGTCATATGCATGTACAATACAAGAACTACAACATCAAGTCTATTCAAGTCAACATGCATATTATATAGTTTAATACATATTCAAGTAACTCTATCATCAAGTCATATTGGCAACAAACGTGAACAAGAGTACATTTTAACATAACCCAAAGCAAGAGAATTACCCATGAACCCTTATCAATTCGACAAGTGCTATGACTAAGCAAAGCCCCATAACCTTATTCAATCAAGTAACCCAACAAGAATCATGACTAACATCCTACTTACATAACATAGTAAAAGTACATATCATATTACTTTAAGAATATAAACCAATACATATACATATATGCAACTAATCATCATATTGTATCAACAATCTGCAAGTTACCCATATACATATCATGCACCATTATAAGCATATAGATACATAGTAACAACCTCCTAAAGTTCCCTTCAAGGAAAAATAGAGAAAGGTATAAGTAGAGTCTCATACCCCTACCTAAGCTAAGTGAACCTCTCAAGTCACCCTAGTTGGTTTGTACTTTATTACTTCATTTTAGTTTAGGGAACACTTGCGTTAATCGACATAGACCCCAAGATCTAAGTGTGGATCCGGTGTTGTAAAACCTTACACCGAAGGAAGGTGATCTACCGACCAAACTAAAACCAAACATAAACGTAGCTTTCTAGGTGGATCCACTAGCTAGTCTTCCTATGGGGGAAACACAGTTCAAGAACTAAGAGATAGGTATAATACCTCTACATACGACTTGGCAATTGGGGAATCCTCTCATGGGAATCCAGTGGATGAGTATTTCTCATTGGGGATTCAACACCACATGTGGAGCTATAGGGTGAATCTTCCTCTATGGGAAGTCATCACCTCCTATTGTCAAGTTAAAACGGTGCTAAGATAAGTCCCTTTTTGAAATACCTTTAACGTCTTTATTGACAATCATAACTTATTGTAGTTCATAAAGTCTAACTCTTGTATATTCTTCATCATATCTAAATAAGAATTGCATGAGTAATGTCCTTTCATTATATTTCATATAGGTGATGTTACTATATTAACATCATCACTTCATGATAACGCACCTTGGTAAATCATTCACCATTCTTATAACATTTACATCTTAAGACAACACCTCATAATCATAATAAAGACATTTCAATTCAACATCATACCATCCTGTCAATCCTAATACATGGCATACTCCAATACAACATCATGACTTAATCTCAATTAACCACAATTTGAAGTAAATGATCGGGATCATAAGACTTACCAAGTCTCCTTCATAGTTCATCATTAAGGTATTACCACATATTCTCACTTTAACCCAATTGTGGTATCATCATAATAAGTCAATAACCAAAATGATAACAAAGCTAGAAGAATCACTATATCACAATTCAATACTTGATCATAGCTAATGACAAGATATTTAGGTCAATTCACAATATATTTCATCACCTAGATCATCTTCTCAAGAACTAGCATGAAAGACTAAAAATCAAACTAAGTCATTCATGATTAGTATAACAACATCATTTAGTAGTAATTCAATCTATAACCTAGTCAATTGAACAAATACAATCAAATTCACATCAAGATCATAACCTAGGGGTAAGGCGTAAGGATCATCTTCTACGAACTAGAACAAACCATAATGATATATCATAATTAAATTATAATACATGTTAATATATTCATAATATCCAAAATAAATCATAAAAAATCAATTCATAACATCAATTTCGAGATTGGAAAAGTTCCACATGAAAACTCGACTTTTGAAAATACTTTGAAGGAACCCTTTGAGCAAAGAGGTCTCAAAGGTGAATTAGATCTTATACCTTAATGTTTGATGAAAATATATAGTGAAATCGTCCCTTTAAATCCCCTAAAACCTCCCCTAGTTTGGTCTTCAATGATGTTTTCCACTAGAGAGACAATGAAGAGAGAAGGAAGAGAGTTTAGTTTTGTGAGTTGTAATTAGTCTAATAGGGTTGGGGCCTTTATATGGGGGTTGAATTAATTAGGCCTTCCAAAACCCCTAATTAACTCCCTAACTAAGTAAATCA